CTCGAATCAAGGCCTTGGGCATCGGAAAAATCATCATCAGCTACGGAAATCAAAGACAAGCAAATAATCACACCAAAAAAATGCAAGAGAAAACAGGAAATAAAATAAGATTGGGTTGCCTCCCAAAAACGCTTTTCTTTAACGTCTTTGGCTAGACATTATTAATTGAGAAATCAAATTAAGGGATCCTCAACGGCCATCCAAACCACATCCTCAACTTCAGCGCCCTCTAGATAGGGTTTCAATCGATGGCCATTCACCACAAATTTCTTTTCAGTCTTCGAGCTTTGAATTTCGACTGCACCATAAGGCAAAACATTAGTAATAACAAAAGGGTCAATCCATCTGAAACGTAACTTACTTGGAAAAAGCTTGAGCTTAGAATTATAAAGAAGCACTTTCTGACCGACATAAAAAAATTTCCTTAATATTTGTTGGTCATGAAAGGCTTTCGCCTTTGCTTTGTACGTCAAGGTGCTCTCACATGCCTAATTCCGAATCTCCTCCAATTTCTGCAACTGCAACTTTCTATGTGTTCCCGCTTCGTCAATAATCATGTTGCATTTTTTTACTGCCCAAAAAGCACGGTGCTCAAATTCAACCGGAAGATGACACGGCTTACCGAATACTAACCTATATGGCGACATTCCGATAGGTGTCTTGTAAGCGGTGCGGTAAGCCCATAGTGCATCCAGGAGGCGGAGACTCCAGTCCTTCATATCCGGTCGAACAGTCTTTTCAAGAATAGACTTGATTTCTCAATTCGACACCTCCACTTAACCATTTGTCTGAGTATGGTATGAGGTCGAAACTTTGTGCAACAAACCTTACTTCTTGAAGAGAGCGGCGATGGTCTTGTTGCAAAAATGGGTTCCCTTATCGCTCACCATATCCCTAGGCATTCCAAACCGGGTGAATATGGTGAACTTAATAAAATCTGCAACCACTTTAGAATCGTTAGTCCGGGTGGCTTTTGCTTCCACCCATTTCGAAACATAATCAACGGCGAGAATGATATATGAATATCCATGGGACATGGGAAATGGGCCCATAAATTCGATACCCCATACGTAAAATTTTTTAACAAATAACATTGGTACCTGAGGCATCTCGGCTCGAGAGGAAAGATTACCTACACGTTGGCAATTGTCGCATGACTTGCAAAAGGTGTGGGCATCTTTGAACAATATTGGCCAATAGAACCTGCTATCTAAAACTTTCATTGCCGTTTGTTGGGAACCAAAGTGTCCCCTACAATGAAGGGTATGACAGAATCGAAGAATGGATTAGTGCTCACCTTCTTGCACGCATCTTTGCAAAATTTGATCTGAGCAATGCTTCCACAGGTAAGGGTCATCTTAGATGTAGTACTTTGCGTCGCTTTTGAGTTTGTCCATTTTAGTTTTTGGCTAACCTGCGAGAAACGCTTTAGTTATTATATAATTAACTAAATCGATATACCATGGAATACAATAATCAACTTGAAGGAGCAATTGTTCGTATGGGGCTGTCTCCTATAGTGGTAAATTGTCATTTTTGGCACAAGGGAGATGACTCAAAAGATCGGCGACAAGGTTCTCCGATCCCTTTTTGTCCCGAATCTCCTAATCGAATTCCTGTAAAAGCAATAGCCATCTGATAAGTCTTGGTTTCGCTTTTTTTTTCACCACTAAATATCGTAATGCTGCATGATAAAAAAAAAATTACTACTTTAGTACCCAATAAGTAAGAACGAAAATTTTCTAATGCAAAAACTACTGCTAATAACTTATTTTTGGTAACAGTGTAGTTCAATTGAGTTCAACTCAAGGCTTTTGAGGCATAGTAGATGGCGTAGAGACTTTTTCTTTCCCATTGTCCTAACGCCGCTTCAACCGCAACATCGCTTGCATTGCATATTACCTCAAAAGGTAGCTCCCAATTAGGGGGGCGCATGATTGACGGTGATGACAAAGACTCTCTAAGTGTGTCGAATCCTTTCTTGCACGCCTTGGTGAAATCAAACACCGCTACTTTTTTTAGTAGCTCAAATAATGGGCATGCTATTTTTGAAAAATCCTTTATGAACCTCCGGTAGAAACCTGCATGACCCAAAAAGGAACATACCTCTCGAACGCAAGTAGGATATGGTAACATAGAAATTAGATCGACCTTCGCCTTGTCCACCTCGATACCTCGTGATGATACAACATGGCCCAAAACTACTCATTGTTCTACCACAAACTGACATTTCTCCCAATTGAGTACTAGATTCACTTCACAACATCTTTCCAAAATCAAAGATAGGTTAGCAAGACAACTATCGAAGCTATCCCTGTAAACACTAAAATCGTCCATAAATACTTCAATAATTTTATCAAAATATTCAGAAAAAATACTTAACATGCATCTTTGAAATGTCACCGGGGCATTGCAAAGACCGAATGACATTCATCTATAGGCAAACACTCCGAATGGGCATGTGAATGATGTTTTCTCTTGATATTCCGGAGTGATAGCAATCTGAAAATATCCTGAAAAACCATGTAGAAAACAATAGTGAGCTCGACCAGCTAATCTTTCAATCATTTGGTCAGTAAATGGGAAAGGAAAATGATCTTCATTGTCACGGCATTAAGCTTACAATAATCGATTCATTGCTGCCAACCAGTTTGCTTTCTTACCGGGATTAACTCACCATTTTGATTTGTCTCCACGGTTACCCCGGACTCCTTAGGAACAACTTGGATTGGACTTATCCAAGGACTATCGGCAATAGGAAATATGATTCCTGCATCCCAGAGTTTGAGGATCTCCTTCTTAACAACTTCCGCCATGATTTGATTCAACTTTCTTTGGCCCTGCCTCACCGGCTTTACGCCTTCCTCAAGTGTGATCTTATGCGTGCAAAATAAGGGGCTTATATCTTTGACATCCGCTATTGTCCATCCTATCGCTTGTTTGTGTTCTTTTAGCACTTGAATCAATTTTCCCTCTTGTTCAGTCGTCAACTTCGACGAAATGATCACTGTAAGGGTCTCATTTTCCCCCAAATGGGCATACTTGAAATGGCTTGGCAGTGATTTTAATTCCAACTCTGGCGGCTGCACAATCGAAGACAATAAATGCATATTAGTCTCGGGTAAGAATATAGGAGCATGTGCATACCTGTGTGAAACTAAAGTTGTAGCTTCTAAAGCTTGCATCACTTCCAACAAATCTGGAGTCAATCCTCGAGTAGGCATGCTTTGAACCTCCAAGTGTTTCGTGAGTACCACTTCGAGCGCATCGTCACCCCTCAACTCAAAAGCATCCTGCACTTCAAGGTCAATAACATCTAACGAGAAAACAGAGTTGGGATCCAGGGGATATTTAATCGCATAAAAAATTTTGAATTCAATTTTTTCCCCATCAAATTTCATCGTCAAAATTCCATTCTTTACATCAATCTTAGTATCCTCCGTACACATAAAAGATCTTCCTTAAAGTAGTGGTGATGGGTTGGGCGAATGTTCGTCATGCATTTCTAAGACATAAAAGTCAACTGGGAAAATTAATTCATTGACTTGGACAAGGACATCCTCTATAATTCCTTCGGGATATGCATGCGTCCTATTAGCAAGTTGAATAATAATCCCGGTTTTCTTTAACGGTGCAAGATCCAAACAGTTATAGATTGATTTTGGCATGACATTAATTGCCGCACCTAAATCTAACATAGCATGCTTAACTTCTAGTTGCCCTATTTTACATGGGATTGTGAACATAACCGGGTCTCTGCACGTCGGTGGAATCTTTCTTTGGAGAAGGGCCCACACATTTTCACTTGCGATGATACATTCATCGCCCTTCAACTTCCGCTTGTTAGTGCACAATTCCTTTAAGGACTTCGCGTACTTGAGAATTTGGTAGATTGCATCCAACAACAGTATATTGAGCTCGACCTTCCGAAATATCTCCAAAACTTCATTCTCCCTTTTTGGCTTTTTCGGCTTTGCCAACCTGGAAGGAAAAGGGGCAAGATTTGTATACAATTTGGTGATAGTTTCATCAACTACCTCTTCATTTTTTTCCCCTTCGTCCTTCTCGATTTCTTTCTCGATTCTGCTTTCATTTTTGTCCTTCGAATGATTGGTTCCGGAGCTCCCCTCGTCTTTCCGGTTCATAAAGTTATGGTGCTAACATTTTTGGGATTTCTTTCCGGTTGTGATGGTCATTTCCCCGCTTCTCTTTCCTTAACATGGCGAAGATCCGCCGCTATTTGCTCCACATAAGATTCAAGATTTTGAATGCTCGCCCTTGTATCTTGCTGGAATTGGATTGTGTTGGCAGCCATGATCTTCATCGTTTCCTTAAGTGAAGTGTTGCATTTGGAAGGCGGTGGTGGCGGTTGGACAAATTGTTGCAGAGATGCTTGTGACAGAAACATTTGATGGTGTGAATTTCCATACCTATTTCAAATATTATATTTATAAAATAAAAATACATATTTTTTTTAAAAAAATTTGATAATAATTTATGAATATATTTATTCTTTAAATTATTACTTTTTATTAAATATTTAAAATAATATTAACAAATATTATTATATTCTTTATCATTTATATATTATAAAAAGTAAAAAAATAAATAATAATAATAATAATAATTAATTAAAATCTCTTCTTATCATAACTAGATATTTTGTCATATACGAATTTTTCATAAATATTCATTAAAATTCAATAAAATCTATAAATTTTAAAAATTTGAATTCAATACACCCAAAATTTAAAAACTCTTGACAAAATGCTATAAAGTTGCGATTGAGTACAGCCAAAGACAGACATTGACTTGGCGAAGCGTAGTGCAGAAAGCGCGTCGAAAACAGCTTCTGGCATCTGAGAACTCTCCCCTGCTGCAACAACGTCGAATTTCCGCGCAGCGAGGAATACAAAGAGGAGATCGAGGCGGCGGAGCAAGACAAGCTTGGCGGTGCTTATCATATGCATCAAAGGTGTTCGATGAAATGACTGTGTCAGTGAGAGACAAGACAACAAAGGGTTCTTTCTTCATTAATTTAATTACATCTTTTCTTCGCAGAAACAAAAGAGCCTTTATTGAGGAGGAGAGCTTGAACAGAGCCCTACAGCCACATGTGTGGAACTTAATCATATTATCATGAATTACTAGACGTGGAAAACTAGGACATGAAAGTAGTAGAGCTACAAGGATTGGGCTGTCATCCTATTCTTTCTTGGGATTGGGAGGCTGATAGACACTCAATTCCTGTATTAAATCATCCAGATTGTCGTAGGATGATCCTCCTCGTTCAACAGCTTTTCTTGCCATTTCCTTGTAATGCTTTGCCCTGTGTCTCATTTCTGTAGATCCTTCTCCAACCATGATGTCCTGCAAAGCCTTTGTGACTGCACTGCTAGTCACTCCTTCACTTTCGCTCCTCTGCCAATTCTTATTCCCGACTGAAACTCCAATTTTTAAGATATCCGTCACCAATTTTTCGTTGAAAAACTGCTCGGCAAAGACGGGCCATGTCACCATAGGAACCCCAGCACAGATCCCTTCCAGGGTCGAATTCCATCCACAGTGGGTCACAAAAGCTCCCACTGCAGGATGATCAAGAATCATCACTTGGGGTGCCCATCCCCTGATGATCAGCCCCTTACCTTTCACTCTTTCCTCGAATCCTTCCGGAAGCCATTCTTCAGCGTCTCCCTGACCTGTCCCTCTCCTCACAACCCAAATGAAATCTTGCCCCGAGGCCTCGAGCCCAATTGCCTTTTCGCGTAATTGTGCTGGACTGAAAGTCGCCGTGCTGCCGAAGCACATGTACACGACTGAATTATGATTCTTTGAATCGAGCCAGGCCAGGCATTCGTCCACGTCAATGGATGATTGTTTCCCTCTATGTGCTCTTGGTAATCCGTTAATGGCGTTGGTTAACAGAAGGGGACCTATAGGCCATGCCCTTCTCCCCAACACATTCTTGTAATGTTCAATGTAATCTGATTCGAGCTCCGAGAAGCTATTGAGGATGACTCCATAGCTTCTCTCCGTTGACTCCATGACTTGCTCCAGCAATCCTCCGAGTAGACTCTTCTTTCCTGCTCGTTCATGCGGCGACACCTGTGTCGGAGTAAATGTGAGGTGATGAGGCAGATTAGGCACCACAAATGTGTCGGAATCGGATTCGGCATTCAAGTAAGGCTTGTGGAGCTGAATTTGGTCGGAGACGCACAATGCGAAGCAGCTGGTGCCATGGAAGACCAATCTGGGAATTCCGAATTTGGCTGCAGATTCAGCCGTCCAAGGGAAGAAGACGTCGGAGATGAGGAAGTTAGGTTTCAATTCCTGGAGGAGTGTCTCGACGGGTTCTTTGAGCAAGGCCACGGCGTCGAGGAACTTTGGCAGCATATCAGGGGTGGAAATTTGATCGACGCTGGCAATGTTTTCGGGCAAGGAGGATCCCTTGGGCGGGAATTTAAGGGTTCTTACGGCGACATCGAGGCCGGATTGCTGCGCCATGGTGATGGAATCGCGTAAGAGATCATTTGAGATTATGGTGACTTTGAGACCCCTGGAATGAAACAGGCTGCCCATTTCCAGTGTCGGGATGGTGTGGCCATGAGCCATTAATGGAAACAAAACTACATGTAGCTGCTGCCCCATTTTGGATCTCATTCAAACTCTCTCTCTGCGAAGAAGAAGTGTTAGAGATAGATAGATGTAGAAGATGATGAATGAGTAGTGTAATGCAATCTGTAGTGAGTGAGTGAGTGACCTAGAAAGTAGAAATAAGTAGAAGAACATGCATAGAAAATGACGTCGTTGCTTACGATGAAATTTCTGTTGGAGACAGACAAACATTGGCCGGTCGGTAATCAATTTCAATTTGAATTTGATTGTGTCTTGGCTTCCTCAATTTTCTAATCGCCATGACCGCGTGCGTGTGTTTGTCTTCCTGATAACCTTCAACTTTCCTAGTAGTATTAAATAACCTTTCATAGAAGTTTCTAATAGACTGATCTGATGAGTCTATATATATATATATATATTTATATACACACGTGGCTATCTGGGAGAGAGAATGAGATTAGATTATTGAATATTGATGGACGGGTGGGAGTGAGTGAAAATGTTGATGGAGGACGTAATCGCTTGCATCATCATAACCTTGAGTACCACTGCCACGCCTGCATGGAATTGACTCTATCTAATACACGACATCGGATTACCTGTGTGTGGAGGGTTTGTCTCTCATCCCGCTCTATCGCATGAGAAGGTAACCCATTGTGTCAATGTCTTTTTATTTAATTTTAAATAAAAATTTTCATTTTGCATTTTAGTCTCTCATTCTTTTTTTTTTCTGCTCATTCCCATTATTAAAATGCTGATTTTTTTTTCTTGTGATATTCTGTCTCGTTTCTACATTATTTATCCATATTTTTTTTCTCTTATTTTTTCTATTTTGGTGTCTCTTATTTAATTTATCATTTCTTTTTTAAAATAAAATTATATATTATCATCATTAATTAAAATTTATAGTTTATAATTTTTTTTATTTTAATTAAACTATTTAGTCATTTTATTTGCGATAAAATTAATTTATATTTATTTTATCCATAAAATATTAAATAAATAAAAATATACCTTATTACAATTATCATATAAACTATATTCAAAATAATTAATTTTTTAATACACTTTTCTTAATTACCGTGCCAAAAAGTTTTTGGCATGATAAAGTGGGACAAAGAAAATATGATACGGACAATTGGTGTGCCCTCCCTACAGGTAATGTTCAATTATAATTCAGTTCCTATTTTAAAACAATTGGTCTGCACTCCCTACTTTACATATTTAGTTTAATATTAGTCCCTGTTTTAGATTTTCTCAAATAAAAATTGAATGTACCTCTAGAATATCTTTAAATGCTTCCAAATTTATTTTATATACTTACAACACATTCTGTTTAAATTTGTCCACGTAGCTCCGAATCTTCGGTTTATCAGTTTTCGAACCTCTTGTTACGGTTTATATATTTGTCAAAGTGCAAACTGCTGGTTCAAACCGCCGGTTTACGGTTTCAACCGACGGTTCGGCCATTATTTTTTTCTTTTTAATTTTAAACCTGCACGCCGGCTGCGATTGTGGATTATAGAATGTTATGGACGGGCGGCGACAGTGAAGAAGAAGCAGGAGGAAAGAAGAAAAAAAAATGAAAAAGAAGAAAATACAAAAAAAAAAAAACGAAAAACGAACCCTTGCAACTGTAGCTGCGGTGGAATGTGGAGAGTGGATGTTCTAAGCTAAAATTGTATATTATATACTTGTAATTGAAATTACTATATATCATTAAAATGTTATAAAAATAAAGATAATATTAATATTAATAAAAATAAATAATTATTAATTATATAATAATAATATACATTATTTTGGTTATTATATTTTAGATTTTGTATTTCTTATCATACAATTATATTTAATTGAAACTATCTTATTATCTAATACACATCAATTTCTTAAAATTTAATTTTGTTTATTTTAATTTAAAATTTAATTTTGTTTATTTTAATTTAAAATTTAATTTGATTTAATTACTTAGTAAATTTATTATTTTAATTACTTTTATATTGTAACAATCTTAGCAATTATTATTTATATGATTTTACATAATAAATAAATAATAAATATATCTGAATGAAATTAAAATCGAAAATAATATTTTTGAATAAATTTTTAAATTTAGAAAAACTTAAAAAGGAAAAAAAAATATTAAAAATGAATGTACATAAATCGGCGATTCAAATCGTAACCGTCAGTTTTTTAAACCACAATCGAAACCGTCATTCAGAAGGTTCGGTTTCGGTTTGACATTTTGATAAACCGTAACCAACGGTTTGAACTGTTTTGGTGTACCTGATATAACCAGGTTGGAGGTACAACATAGCTGCTCTAGAATACTCACCTGCTTAGCCAAGTCATACCCTATGCTTAGATGCCCTTGACCAAAAATTGTTGTGTGCGCTACGGTGTGAATTAATATGTAATAGATCTAAATATTTTCAATTTGTGATAGCAATCATGTACTTTAACGACCAATATAATTCAATTTAGTCACTTATGACTTTATTAGACATCTACTAGTTGAGGTTGGACTATAATAGTACATATATTATACAACCTATCCAAGTCATTTTTACTTGGTTAACCATTCATAACAAATATGTGTTGTTTACCTTTTCTGACAATTTGAGGTGATACAGGAAGATTATGATAATGATCGCATCCTTAGTTACCGTCAACAAATGAATATTTTGAACAATAAATTATTGTTCTCCAACCACATGTTATTGGAGCATATATACTCTTTACTGAAGCATATGAGACTATTATTATAAGTAGTTAAGATCCGCGCTAGAGTATGTCGATATTTTATGTAGGTACATAAGAATGTGATCTGGGTACAAACACCTACATGCGAGGTATAAATAATGGTTTCTTAGGTATTATTTGTGTATTATCAGGTATCTTCAAGTGTAGTTAATTTCAGTTATTTTTATGGAGAGGACCAATTCGCATACTTGGTGAGAACACTTCCTCTCTCAGCCTTGGTGAACTAAATGTTGTTGTGTGTGCTACGGTGTGGATTACTACGCAATATGTCTAAAAAATAACCAATTTGTGAGAGTAGTGATGCATGAGTAACAACCAACAAACTTAACAACGTCATTTCTTACTTGTTTGGCCATCTATAGTAAACATGTGTTCTTTTCTTTACTTACATGTCAGGGAGTCGTGAGAACACAATAATGATGAATTTATCTCTGGTTACTAAGAGCAATTGAATATGTTGAACCGAACACGATTCATTTTTCCTACCATATATAACCAGAGCATATATACGCGTTAGCGGAGCATATGACTTTATATTGCAAGTACATAACGCTTACACTAGGGTATATCTTTAGTGCACATATGCAACAATATCCTCGAGGTACAAACACCGGTAGTCAATGTATAATTGGTGGTTAATTAAATATTATATATATATAGCTGTAGGTATTTTAAAATGTAGTTGATATCAATCAATTTCCCAACGAAGAAGACAATTAAAGCACTCTGTGATACCACTACCTCTATCAGTAGGGTATATGCATGAATGTTAAACTGATATATTCATAAATGTTAAAATGGTATATGCATAAATATTTAGAATGTGTATTTAAATAATTTATTTTTTTATATATTTACTTTTTAGGTGTATTATTATAATTAGAATTGTTGAATAAGAAAAAAAAAATTGACTCTATCTGTTTTTATTAATTCTTTTAAAAAATTAATTTACTTTTTTTAATAAAATTATATTTATATTTATTTTATTTTCACGTTTTAGAATAAAAAAAATAAAAATATTAGTAAAGATTAAAAAAATATATATTTTCTATAGAATAAGAATTTGTTTGTTTTTTGAAAAAATTTCAACATATTTTTCTACAAAAATTAATATATTTACGCACACTCATGATATTTATATTATCTATATATTTTTTTATATTTCACATAAAAAAAAAAATTCTTTCAAATCAAAACACAAAACAAACGAACCATAACCTTTATACATAGTAAGTATTTAAAATATATAAAATACGATAAATAAATTTTATTACTAGTATTAATATTTAAAAAAAATTGTATCTTATATATAGGATTTTAAATATTTGATAGAATAATTATATATATATAGATAGGTAGATATTTATTGTGCTAATATTATATTGAATCATATGATAAAGTTTATATTATATATAATATTTTTATAATATTTACATAATATTTTATACTTCCTCCATCCAAAAAGAGTTGTCTTGTTTTTCCATTTTCGTCCATCTCAAAACAATTGTCTTATTTCCTTTATTTAGTAACCGTGGTCCCCACTTTATAACAAAATTATTTCTATTTTTCAAAACTATCCATAGTTATTACTCTACCATACTTTTAAAATCGTTCAAAAAGTAAGGAATTTTTAGTCTTTTATATTCTATTTTATACCCTACTTTTAATTAAATACTATTATTTCTTAATTCCCGTGTCAACGGCCAATAAGACATCTCTTTTGGGACAGAGGGAGTATTATATTAAATATAATTATGAATTTTGTACAAAAATAATATAAATTATTAACATCAAATTTTTTCATTTTATAGGTAGAATTAAAAGAGTAAGTAAACTAATATTGATAAAATGATATATATAATCATTGTTGTATTTAAAATCTATATATTTAATTTTCTATTGCAATTTTTTTTAATATAATTTTGTAATTCTACTGATTGAATGAATATATACATACACACATATATATATATATACACATATCATGATTTTATTTAAATTCTACGTATCAATTTTGGGTTGTATTTCAATAAATTAGTCATATTGTAATTTTTATATTATGTATATTTTATTTTACAATTAGATTCCGATAATACAATAATATTAGTGCAAATTTAGAAATCTCAATGAATATGAATAAATTTGAAGGGAAATAAGAGCGATCGATTGCATGAAGGAGGAAAAATTTCAATATATTGTTGTACATGAACGAGAATGACGGGTATAGGATTTTCTTTGGGATATGAGAAGTATGTAGTTGTTTTTTTTGTTTCATCCCATAATAAAACATAATTATAATTATTTATTATTATTATTATTATTATTTTTAAATACACATACAAAAGTACACAAAACCTAAATAAAGGTATATAGTAGAACAATTTAGGTAGAGCGAGACGTAGTATAGGTAGAGCGGAATGTGCTATAAGTATATAAAAAAATGTTAAAAGTATTTAAATATATTTTAAGGGTACATCATATTTATACTATACTATTTAATGAAAAAATAAAAAATAGGGATTAAATCTAAATCAATACTGAAAAGGAGGGAGTGCAGATCAATTTTTTAATAATAGGGAC